CAATACTCTTACTTGACGTGGCCTCTTATAAAATGGTTATGAAACAACTTAGATGTTTCATGATCACCACGTTTAGCCTACTCCCACTCGAAGTGGGATGTGACTGCAGGAACCTTTCCATCTCTCTATTTAAAAAGACACGATACACAGTGCATCACAATTTTCTTAACATCTGTATACGACTCGGCATCATGCTCGGGGGGTTTTAGACGTAAATTCAGCCCTATGGCCAGCTCTAACAATAAAGACAGAGTAAAACCTGAGGTCTATATAGAGGAGTCTTTCGTTTCAAACAATGGAGGTTATCGTCCACAGTCATAAACGATTGATCCACAGTTTAAGTACCAATATCTACAAACTTAGCAACATATTCTCTCTAAAACTAATCGGAACCTTATGCTGTTGAATCTCGCTAGATTTATTATACACAAACTCAACCGTGATTTATACTCATTCTTGTCTACCAACAACATGAAGAAATTTAATGAACTTAAACCAACAACTAACAAAACTCCATGCAGCCAGAAAAGTGAAAAAATGTATTCCTTTGCAAAGCTCCAGATCTCCCTCCGTCTGATAGTGAACGATCTCTCCTTTCTATGGGTCTCAAATATATTCCTTTGCAAAGCTCCAGATCTCCCTCCGTCTGATAGTGAACGATCTCTCCTTTCTATGGGTCTCAAATATATTCCTTTCCAAAGCTCCAGATCTCCCTCCGTCTGATAGTGAACGATCTCTCCTTTCTATGGGTCTCAAATATATTCCTTTGCAAAGCTCCAGATCTCCCTCCGTCTGATAGTGAACGATCTCTCCTTTCTATGGGTCTCAAATATATTCCTTTGCAAAGCTCCAGATCTCCCTCCGTCTGTTAGTGAACGATCTCTCCTTTCTATGGGTCTCAAATATATTCCTTTGCAAACCTCCAGATCTCCCTCTGTCTGATAGTGAACGATCTCTCCTTTCTATGGGTCTCAAATATATTCCTTTGCAAAGCTCCAGATCTCCCTCTGTCTGATAGTGAACGATCTCTCCTTTCTATGGGTCTCAAATATATTCCTTTGCATAGCTCCAGATCTCCCTCTGTCTGATAGTGAACGATCTCTCCTTTCTATGGGTCTCAAATATATTCCTTTGCATAGCTCCAGATCTCCCTCTGTCTGATAGTGAACGATCTCTCCTTTCTATGGGTCTCAAATATATTCCTTTGCATAGCTCCAGATCTCCCTCTGTCTGATAGTGAACGATCTCTCCTTTCTATGGGTCTCAAATATATTCCTTTGCATAGCTCCAGATCTCCCTCTGTCTGATAGTGAACGATCTCTCCTTTCTATGGGTCTCAAATATATTCCTTTGCATAGCTCCAGATCTCCCTCTGTCTGATAGTGAACGATCTCTCCTTTCTATGGGTCTCAAATATATTCCTTTGCATAGCTCCAGATCTCCCTCTGTCTGATAGTGAACGATCTCTCCTTTCTATGGGTCTCAAATATAACCCTCTTAATTCTTCCATTGACCGCTATCAATTATTAGCTGACTCTCATCACTATTGTTTATCTTTGAGACTACAGTACCACTTTTATGGTAGAGAGAGCACACAACAGCAGGATGAAATGTTCTCATTTCAGAGGCAACGTAAATCCACCTGGACACCACCCTCGGATCAATCCAAAGCTATAGATCTCTACATCGGTAGCACTAACCATGATCTCGACAATCTCTCTCCCTCTCCCTAAACTCCGCCATTCCAAACCTCTGTGAACAAGAATCTCAGGCGCTGTCAACGTAACGACATTGTGATCAAATGTGCTGATAAGTGCGGTGCTGTCGTAGTTTGGGGGCAAAAACTTATACATTAAAGAGACTAATGAACAATTAAATGATACCAGATTTTATGAACCCATCAAGAATAACCCTGTTGTTCACAACCATGAAATTGTGCATCAAACAATCAAACAACTCATTAACGAATCAGCGCCTCCAAAACCGACGTCTTCATTACAGATTCTTAATAGTGAACTTGGCAAACCTTCTTTCTAATAGGTGTCTAAGATTCACAAAGTGGGTAACCCGAGACGACTTAATATTGTCTCGGCCTGCTCTTGCCCCACTTAAAACATTTCAGAATTTCTAGAATTTCTAAACCTTTGTTACCTCTTTACCCACTTACATTAAAGACACCAACCACGCTTTAATAACATTTAATTCCCTAAACATTACGCCTGATACACAACACTTACTGTTTTTACTTGATGTCTGCTCCTTACACACATCAATTCCACATGCAGACGTTCTTAGAGCTCTGAGATTTTTTCTTGAAAATGAGCCACACTCCTCTATCCCTACCAACACTATTATTAGTTTGTCCGAACTGGTACTCACCCACAACTCTTTTGAATTTAATGGCTATTTTTTTTTAACCAATTTAGTGGCGAAGCCAATGGCACAAAAATGGGCCATAGTTATGCTTGCCTATTTTTGGGTCATTTTGAATATATGGTAGAGAAAGCATATTTTACTGGCCGTATCCCTACATTTTATAAAATATATATTGATGAAGGCATTGCCATCTCTACCATGGAAAGTAATGAACTTCAAAAATGAATAGATTTCTTAAACTCATTTCATCCATCCATAAAATTTACTTCCCAAATCTCTGGATGTTCTGTCAACTTCCTTGATATCACCGTAACTTTGAAAGAAAACGGATTGACCACATCTGCCTACTACAAACCAACTGACAGCCATAGTTACCTATTGTACTCATCCTCCCATCCCAAATCCTGCAAAGACTCTATACCTTTCTCTCAACTTCTTAGACTACTGCGTCTTTGCAGACTTGATGGAGACTTTCTAGAAAAAGCTGATAAAATGGATTTCTCTTGCTTCAGGTCATATCCTGAAAATGATCTTGTCTCGGCACTCGGTCGTATCAGCAACGTCACACGAGAAGACGCTTGTAAACGTCACCAAAACAAAAATGAAGATCGAACCAAGCTCATAATAACCTATAACCCTCACAATGTGACAGCCAAGAAAAGTTTCATAAAAAATCGTAACATACTTCTTGCTGACCTCGACACTAACACGGTATTCTCATACCCTTCATTGATTGTCTTCAGACGGGATAAAAATATAGGTTACCTTCTGGTCCACAGTCGCCTTCAAGCTGACCCGTCTTATCCATTACGGCAATAATTTCTTGCTTAAACACACCAGTGAGAGTGAAAATGGAAAACACATTTATTCAGCTTTTCGGAACCATATCGCCACATGGTATGACCAAATACTCTCTTACTAATTTTTCTCAATTTCCCTGTACTTCTTTTTTTCCTTATTCCTTAGATTTTATGCATCTCTAAACATTCTGGAAGCTTGTTCCAGTTCATGATTGTCTTTAGCAGGAATGAGCAGTTCCTGTACTGACTTCTCGCTGATATGAGCCGGAATTGCCTGTCATGGCGTCGTCACTGACACGTTAAATTTGCTAGTGTCATTGTAGAGACAATGTTCTATGACCTGTTACAACATAAGAAATGAAGTCATCAGAGTAAAAAGCCGGATCTACGTACTACTCTTACTAATAATTTAGTTACATTTTGTAACATGAGTTGACCCGTGTCCCACTCCTTCACAATCGGCTGAAGGGTTTATTCTTATCAAACTTAAAGGATGGGTTACCACCGAGTAAAAAAATTATAATGTGACAAGTTAGTGATAATTTGAGGGGGGGGGGTGTCTGGAGATCCTCCCCACACCACCCACCAAAAAACACGTCTCATGCATGACGTAAGCATCCCTTGAAGTAATCACTTTTTCACATCCAAACCCCCTTTCTTACCACACCCCCCCCCAACGCCCCTCCTTCTCAGCGACAAACGGACACACTTCACCTCAGCAGAGATCTGATGCATACAAATGATGACGCTTTATGAATACAGCACAGTATCCTGCTAGGAGGCTTTAGCGACCGGAAATGTTTATCCGTTGTATCTAGGGACGCGGACGCCGTGAACTCGCTTTCCAAAGCAGGTTCTCGGGCTTTTCGTTATGTAAGACACTTCAAGTCATCACCTTACACATATTACGTATTACAGCAATCAATAGTTTCTATAAAAATTAAGATAGGTTTTTTTGTTATAACACCATTATAGTTAGAATTACTGGGGGGGGGGGAGCCTTACTTAAATATATATTCAAAGCCGTTATAAAATAATAAATCTAGGCAATGCCACTAGAAAAAATGTATATTCGCCATAAGTATGAACCTAGCCAATCCCAATGAAAATATATGTACATTTCTGGCAAGGTATAAATCTAGCCAATTTTCTATTTTTTTCTCAACAGCTGATTATTAATCTGAAGTATAAATTAACCAAAAAAACGCACACCAATCATTCCTGCTGATATTTATAAACGTAGCTGACCAAACTCAATACATTCATAATGTCTTTATCAACCATTACACCTTACACGTGAACTACTGTACTCATGTGACCGCCTCGCACACCCTCTCTCCTATAGCAAACCAGACTGATTTTTTTCTCGATCTAGCTGATGCGAGGTGTTATCCGCGCAAAGACTACCAAAAAAAAAAATTTAACTTTTTGTTGTTTTTTTCTTTTGCCCAGTCTCTAAGTTCGGCTGCACTGCCAAGGCTCGGGTCGTCGAACACTACTTGAACTCCTTCCACCTTCTACTCCTCCACCTCTACCCCCATCCTAGGCCCCACATTTTGATTCTACTGGACGCAGATGTCCTTTATCCTGTTCGTGACGTTTTGTAAGCACCTGCTTGCCTACAATGCTAACAGTTCGAACGACCCATAACGTATATTTTCATGACGTCCGGATGGGGGGGTGACGTCCAACACTATAAAAAGACTCCGATGTTGCCATATCAGGCAGACATACAGCACAGTGTATTGGCCAAACAAAGGTAAATATACTACTATTTGTATTGTTAAATCTCTCTTGTTGTTGTTTTTTTTTCTCATACATTTAGTGTTGGGAAGCAGGACGGGAAATACACTAGTTATGTTAAAATCCCAGCGCAAAGCGTCCTTGAACAGAAAACATATCAATTATTTTTAGAGATGAGATCAGATGCTTTCATTTATCCAAAAAATTTAAATTTTGTTTCGATTACAGCAGCACACTTTTTCTTCAGGTTTGGAAAATTTGTCAAGATTTTTTTTTTGTTCTCCAAAAGGCGTTTGGTAAAACAATGTGTTATCAATGTGTTATCAATGTGTTATCAATGTGTTATCAATGTGTTATCAATGTGTTATCAATGTGTTATCAATATGTTATGAATGTATTATCAATGTGTTATCAATGTGTTATCAATGTGTTATCAATGTGTTATCATTGTGTTATCAATGTGTTAACAATGTGTTATCAATGTGTTATCAATGTGTTATCAATGTGTTATCAATGTGTTATCAAAATGTTATCAATGTGTTATCAATGTGTTATCAATGTGTTATCAATGTGTTATCAATGTGTTATCAATGTGTTATCAATGTGTTATCAATGTGATATCAATGTGTTAACAATGTGTTATCAATGTGTTATCAATGTGTTATCAATGTGTTATCAATGTGTTATCAATGTGTTATCAATGTGTTATCAATGTGTAATCAATGTGTTAACAATGTGTTATCAATGTGTTATCAATGTGTTATCAATGTGTTATCAATGTGTTATCAATGTGTTAACAATGTGTTATCAATGTGTTATCAATGTGTTAACAATGTTTTAACAATGTGTTATCAATGTGTTATCAATGTGTTATCAATGTGTTATCAATGTGTTATCAATGTGTTATCAATGTTTTATCAATGTGATATCAATGTGTTAACAATGTGTTATCAATGTGTTATCAATGTGTTATCAATGTGTTATCAATGTGTTAACAATGTGTTATCAATGTGTTATCAATGTGTTATCAATGTGTTATCAATGTGTTATCAATGTGTTATCAATGTGTTATCAATGTGTTATCAATGTGTTATCAATGTGTTATCAATGTGTTATCAATGTGTTATCAATGTGTTATCAATGTGTTATCAATGTGTTAGGGCCTGGAGTGTACGTTGGCATTTTGAACAGAGCCTCGGCATATGTTTATTTTTTTTGTGGATAAAAATTATAATGTCTGTAGCCCACTTGTCATTGGGTTGGTTGTTTTGATCACGTCGTTGTTGACAATATGGGGGGTACTTTTGTTTCCATTATGGCGGATGTGAATCTCTGTTGGTTTATGTCCACACACACACACACACACACACACAAATCCATTTAAGCGATGTTCCCTCGCACATTTTAAACATTTACAACTCCTTGGTTCCTTCAATACAGTGTGTGGATTTTTATAGAAAACAAATGTTTGCTTGTTTATTTGTTCGGCCTCAAAGTCATGCGTGGGGTGTTCCACTATTTTTTTTTTTCTATTATTTTGTTTGCTCCTTAGGTGGCCAAATCTCTGTGTTGCCGGGAAGCGAAGCACATCAAACTAAAATGGAGATAAATCTACATTAACTATGCTTCAAGCTTTCCAATTGTCCCCTCTCATGACTAACACTTTAAAAAATACATTTCGCGTCCAGGTGCCTATTCTGGCAGTGGCTTTGTCTCGACTCGTTGATCGTGACATCACGTGGTACACTACAGACGGCACACAAATGTTTTAATATCTTGGTTTCTTTTAAATATGTTCGGATTATCAGCCTTTATTTTATTCTGTGTTAGTATTCAATTCATTAGTTGCCTGGCATGATGCTAATAAAGAAGGCTTAGCAGAATTCGAGCTAATGTCCTGCCTGCAATGTAGAGCAAACAGATGTCGCGATGGTTGTCACGGGATTGGCTGTCGTCTTCACGCTTATGCAAGTGAGCGATGGATGCGTCCATGAAATCATGTGGTATCAACTCTTGCTGCAACAAAAGTGGAAACAGCTGGTGACGCCTTTTGGTCAGGGCTGCTCAACCTTCCTTGTGTATGTCAGTAGGGATGGAGTAATCATATTGCTTGCTGCATCTCGGTTAAGAGAGATAGAGAGAGAGATGGGGGGGGGGGAAGGGGTTTACATTCCTTGATTGAGAAGGGTATGCTGCCAGAAAGGCAATGCGGTTTGCCCNAATGTCCTGCCTGCAATGTAGAGCAAACAGATGTCGCGATGGTTGTCACGGGATTGGCTGTCGTCTTCACGCTTATGCAAGTGAGCGATGGATGCGTCCATGAAATCATGTGGTATCAACTCTTGCTGCAACAAAAGTGGAAACAGCTGGTGACGCCTTTTGGTCAGGGCTGCTCAACCTTCCTTGTGTATGTCAGTAGGGATGGAGTAATCATATTGCTTGCTGCATCTCGGTTAAGAGAGATAGAGAGAGAGATGGGGGGGGGGGAAGGGGTTTACATTCCTTGATTGAGAAGAGTATGCTGCCAGAAAGGCAATGCGGTTTGCCCCGAAGAACGCGACACTATCGATGTGGTGTTCGTGGCCGGACAGCTTCAGGAAAAGTTGTCAGGAGCAGAATGTCAACATCCTCTCCATCTGTTTAGAAACGAACAAGACATTCGACACTGTCATTGGGAGAATGTCAGTACCTGGATTTGTTCCATCTGCCCCCCTGCACCTCCATCACGAGAACGCTACTTGCAGAGTTGGCCTGATTTTTTTATTTGCGCACCCACAGACAGATTCAGCCCCAGCGCCAATCGGATGTTTATAATGGGCATGATCGATTTTTCGACCGACGAACTAACACATTTGATTGACGATAATTAAAGTTAAAATTTTTCAATATGTATTTTATCTTAATATGTTCCGGTAATGTTATGTGTCTAGTTCTTACCCTTCTATTGGCCTACAGCTCCACTCCTGGCAGACAAGATGTTTCTCCTAACTCTATTGTGTTCAAGTGTGCTCCTGCTTACGTCACCCGTTGAAGGTTAGCTCAGTTGTGTTTTAAATATGTTGTAAGGTCAAAGGATACTGTCAAACAGTAGAGCTTTTAATTGTTTCTATAACATGGATTTATCACGATATTTTACGATTTGTTAGGAGAATTTGTGCGCGTATTTTATGATGTGTTGTGAAGAGAAACATTCCCGTTAGGATTGATTGGTAAAATCGCCATCACAACGTCACGATTACGTATCAACGGAAAAAAAAAAAACACCCTAATTTAAATTTTCAAGATAAGGAACCCAAATGCTTATCGTTATCACACAATATCCTTGAAATTCTTATATTTTGTGATTTAACAGATTCTGACCTAAAGAAAATGTTATGCCAGTCATTATAATTTTTATATTATTTAATGTTTAAGCTCTATAATCTATAAAAAAGATGTTCTATTTTATTCAATCGTTCATTGAACAGGAAAAAAAAACTACGCCACTGCCTTGGCGAAATCGATTTTGTTTTACAACTCTCAAAGATCTGGCAAACTACCGACCAACAACCCAATACCATGGAGAGGTAGGTCTAGATAACTGGTGCACATCATGGAGAGGTAGGTCTAGATAACTGGTGCACATCATGGAGAGGTAGGTCTAGATAACTGGTGCACATCGGAGAGGTAGGTCTAGATAACTGGTGCACATCATGGAGAGGTAGGTCTAGATAACTGGTGCACATCGGAGAGAGGTAGGTCTAGATAACTGGTGCACATCATGGAGAGGTAGGTCTAGATAACTGGTGCACATCGGAGAGGTAGGTCTAGATAACTGGTGCACATCATGGAGAGGTAGGCCTAGATAACTGGTGCACATCATGGAGAGGTAGGTCTAGATAACTGGTGCACATCGGAGAGTTAGGTCTAGATAACTGGTGCACATCGGAGAGGTAGGTCTAGATAACTGGTGCACACCATGGAGAGGCAGGTCTAGATAACTGGTGCACATCATGGAGAGGTAGGTCTAGATAACTGGTGCACACCATGGAGAGGTAGGTCTAGATAACTGGTGCACATCATGGAGAGGTAGGTATAGATAACAGGTGCACATCATGGAGAGGTAGGTCTAGATAACTGGTGCACATCATGGAGAGGTAGGTCTAGATAACTGGTGCACACCATGGAGAGGTAGGTCTANCCGACGCTGGGAGTTGGAACTTGACATGGTCGCCAGCGTCATGCCAGCCGCCCACGACACAGTCGGTCAGACTTGAGTCTCCTGTAACATTAGAGTATATTTAGTTCAGTGAACGTAAAGGTCATCACCATTGGGTCACGCCTAGTTATCAGAACCTATCACTCCATGGTATGCAAAAGTTATCTAGACCTACCTCTATGATGTGCACCAGTTATCTAGACCTACCTCTATGATGTGCACCAGTTATCTAGACCTACCTCTATGATGTGCAACAGTTATCTAGACCTACCTCTCCATGATGTGCACCAGTTATCTAGACCTACCTCTCCATGGTGTGCACATCATGGAGAGGTAGGTCTAGATAACTGTTGCACATCATAGAGGTAGGTCTAGATAACTGGTGCACATCATAGAGGTAGGTCTAGATAACTGGTGCACATCATAGAGGTAGGTCTAGATAACTTTTGCATACCATGGAGTGATAGGTTCTGATAACTAGGCGTGACCCAATGGTGATGACCTTTACGTTCACTGAACTAAATATACTCTAATGTTACAGGAGACTCAAGTCTGACCGACTGTGTCGTGGGCGGCTGGCATGACGCTGGCGACCATGTCAAGTTCCAACTCCCAGCGTCGGCGTCCACGACTCTCCTGGCCTGGTCCCTGGTCCAGTTTAGCGCGGGCTACCAGAACGCCAGTCAGCTGACCGCCATGTACGACATGATCAAATGGCCACTGGACTACTTCCTTAAGGCGTGGAGCCCTTCCAAGTCGCAGCTTGTCGTGCAGGTGAGTCCTGGTTGATAAACTGTAGACGCTGACTTCAGAGGTTACGTACAGTTAACTACGTGTCGTTCGTTAATCGCTGATGTTAAAGGTTATGTCTTGTGTTGGCATATTTTCTGGGATCCTCGCTCAAAGATTTTAACGTAGTGACATATTTTAGCTTTGCTATCGCATGTCCTTTTTTTTTTTTTTTTTTTTTTTTTTTTTTTCTTCTTTATTTTTTTTTTTTTTTTTTTTTTTAAATTTTTCCACTCAAATTTTTCTGCCCACCAATGCCATCAAATGCTAAGTAATAATCGGTGATCGAAATTTCAAATTACCGCAATTCATTCTGGGAAAAAATAATAAATAAGGCATGCAAAAAAATTAACTCAGAAACGTAGAGCTTGCTTGCGGACACATTTCTTCGGCGAATAAAGAAAAACAAGTACTAAGGTGTACATGACATCTAACGTCAGCCAACACAAGTAGTTACATTGTCGTAGAATACACAGGAAAGTGACCTTGCTTGCAGTTATATTGAAGCATGAGGTGAAGATCCCAAACTTGCAGAGCTATAGATGCCCCATGTATTTTCTGGGTGTATCACTATAGTGTAGTTTTACGTTCCCTTTTGTTGGGGTCGGACAACAGTCTAATCCAATTAAGTAGTGTTCCATTAAGGCTTGTAAATAAAGTTTATTAAAATGGTTCACTTCAAAATATAGTGTCTGGGTGTAATGAGATTAACCTTTGGGCAAAAAACTATAACAATGATTCTAATTGGCTCCATAGAAAACTACTCTGAATACACAAAAAAGACATTCAAATGCAGTGAAAGTCATGTTTATCTTTCTATAAACGCTCAGCAAATTATCTCATATAATATAATATATTGCTTCCGGTGTGTCCTGCTTCCTTTTCGAAAACCGCCCTCCCCCATCTCGACATGTTTTATATTAATGGTACTGAGTGGGGTCAAGTATGGCGCGCGTAACGTGCGAACTCAGTAAACAAAAACTTTATTTAGGTGGATGCGACCATTATTCGGTGTTTTTTATTGTTCGTGTTCCTCTGTCACACGGCGAGCATAGTGCGTGACGTCTGAACGCCTTTAAATAGTATGCTCTCTCCGTTAATTTGCGAGTGTTGTGTTGTCTTTGTTATAAAATGGACGACAGTATCTTCTCTATCGACGGGTTTTTGTACAACGTCATCTCTGTTCCGAGATTCGGCAACAGCCTGTGCCTATAGGTGGGTGATTCCTTGACACAAATGGTTGACGAAGGCAAAGCAGTCTCGCTATGACATAGGGTAGTGCAACAATGTTATGTTATTGATATAACAATCCTTTGTGTAACATTGTTAGCTAATACTTAAGCTCATTGTAATAGATGGCTTGCCGCTATTAAGTGGATAATGAATTCATCTGAATCTGTTCCTCTCTCACTCAAAAAGTAATAACGTTTAATGAATAATTTATTCAGTAATTTATTACATAAAATTAGATGAGTTGAATTATAAATCTTGCTTTGGGTATATCCTAGTGACAATGATAGGATGCAATGAATAAATGCACACATGTTCCACATTATTCCATCAGATAATACTTTAATAATCCATACGAGAAATAATTCAACATGTCGGCCACCTTCCAGAAACAAGTGTGCTATACCTTCTTACCCATTAAACGTGTATTCTATATCCGCTCTAGAAACTAGTTCCCGCTTTTTTTCGTAATTCACATCGTTCTGATAAAATTACTACGCCATCATGTCATAAGAATGAATATTGGGGTCGTGTGACAAATCACAACCAACATCACTCTTTTACAGGTAGCACATTTCGTTGCATATTATAGAAAATGAAAATGTAACTCTTTTTTTTCTTGTAACACTTGGACCCACCGGTTATCTTCTCAAAATACCCGGACCCGGTTTTTTAAAAAAAAAACACTTAACACCGCTTAATCCCAAGTACTTAATTGTCTTTATTAAACCAGATTTTGTCTTAACCAAATTCATCCTTTGTACAAAGTAATCAATGAGAAATGACCCATACCTTTATAAGGTTGGCGATGGTGGCGCTGATCACGCCTACTGGGGCAGACCAGAAGATATGACGATGGCCCGACCCTGCAAGACGGTCAGCGCAGCCACGAAAGGAAGTGACCAGGCCGCCGGGACGGCAGCGGCGCTGGCCGCCGGATCCATCGCCTTCAAGACCAAGGGGGACACGGCATACGCCACGTCACTGCTGGACGCCGCCAAAACTCTCTACACCTTCGCCAAAGCAAACAGGTGAGTATTTGACATACAGTATATACAGTTTCTTTGTAAGATTTAGATCAGTTACGATTAGGTGAAGTGAAATGAAAAAAAACACAGAATATATGAGATAAGGTTATTTATATATAAATAATTTATATATATATATATATATATATATATATAATATATTATATATATATATGAATGTATATATATATATATTTATTTATTTATATATATATATATATATATATATATATATATATTAATTAATTTATTTATATAAATAAATAAGTTCAGATAAGATGAAGTGAACAAGATAAGATGAGATTAGACCGAATACGATCCACTTATTGATCTAGACAACATGACATTTTTTTGTCAATACATCTACCTTGTACGATTCGTTTTCATCCTATTAGACACACACAGGAACATTAAAATGTTTCTAAATTAAAGCTTTTTAGAAAATAATTTCATATCAGAAAATTCTTACATTTCCAATTATAACATAATCCCAATGCAAACTTACATGGAATAAAAGTGTTTTAAAAAATCTCAAAGCTCCCCGAATTATCTTGAAGACTTTTAATCTGCTTAAACTATTTCCAGGCGATGTCAATAACTGTCAGTTTGTATGCTTATATGGTGTTAAATCTTCCGTCTCTCGTATCAGGAGCGTCTTATATGCTAATCAATCTTCCGTCTCTCGTATCAGGAGCGTCTTACATGCTAATCAATCTTCCGTCTCTCGTATCAGGGGCGTGTTCACCGGAAGCGCCGAGTTCTACAGCTCTAGCGGGGACAGAGATGAAATGTGCGAGGCCGCTGTTTGGCTGTACAAGGCCTCCGGAACAGCTTCCTACCTCACCGACGCCAGGAGCTTTGTGGAGACGACCACGGCCTACGCCCTCAGCTGGGACGACAAGAAGGCCGCATGTCAAGGTAATTGAGACCCCTCGACTATTTTCGATAATTTCTTGGCTCATAGCTTATAGTTTTTGTTGGGTTTTTTCAGATTTTCAGAAAAAATTTCTTGGAGTTTTTCAGTTGTTACAAAAAAATAATAGTCGTAAAACCTAAGTAAAACACGCAGGTCACCCAGAGTCTCGGGTTGCCAAACACCGTTTCAGGGCATGGTCTATGGCCATGTCCCGAAGGTCGTCAATGAACGCTTTCCAGAACTCAACCTCAGAGCTTTACAGGCCGTGCGAAGCGACACGTTGTTATCAGGGCTGCTACACCTTGGGAAATTTCCCAATATCTTGTGAATTCAGTACCCCATTCAGGGCCAAAACTCACTTTTTTTTTTTTAATTCCCAAAATCCTTTTTTAAAAAGCTCTTATATATTTTCATGATCTTGGGAAATGTTTTGACTAAATCTTGGGAATAAAAAAAAAATTGAGTTGCAGCCCTGGTTGTTATGTGTCGCTGCAGAGAGTAGGTCGTTTCGTCTCGTGATAAACCTCGGAACCCCACTGAGTATGTGAGGAATTATAATCTCGATACTATTGATAATGTGGCTTGTTGTAATCGAATCGATGTTAAAGGTATCAATGTTAAAGGTATCGATGTTATAAGTATCAATGTTATTACTATCGATGTTATTAGTATCGATGTTATTAGTATCGATGTTATTAGTATCGATGTTATTATTATCCATGTTATTATTATCGATTGTTAAAGGTATCGATGCTATAAGTATCGATGTTATTACTATCGATGTTATTAGTATTGATGTTATTAGTATCGATGTTATTATTATCGATGTTATTATTATCGATATTATAAGTATCGATGTTACTGATGTCGATGTTATTGGTGTCGATTTTATTGGTCTAGATGTTATTAGTATCGATGTTATTGGCATTGATATTATTGGCATCGGTGTTATTGGCATCGGTGTTATTAGTAATCTTTTAAAACGTTCGCTGTTGTCCAACTATCGCCCTGCCATTTCCAGCCCTCCTGTACGGCGTGACCAAAGAAGCACAGTACCAGACCCCGGTGGTGAACTTCTTCAACGCCTGGCTGCCCGGCGGTAGTGTCCAGTACACGCCCTGTGGTCTGGCGTGGAGAGATCAGTGGGGCGCGACCAGGTGAGAGGGCACTGTTATCACACCAATTTAACCATGCCCGGATATATGTTGATTTTTGTCATGATACTTGTCGAAGTATGTTCAATAACTTTTGGGGAAAAAATTGTAACAATATAGAAGTTGTAGTAGTATGGTAGTAATATGGTAGCAATATGGTAGCATTGTGGTAGTAAATTGGTAGCGATATGCTAGTAATATGGTATCAATATGTTAGTATTATGATAGCTATCAAGCCACATATACGTTGGTAGCTTAGTTAAAAAATGAATGTACTTTTGATAACGCAGTTGTTTCTATCGACAGATACGCGGCAAATGCAGCTTTCCTGGCCCTCGCGGCTGCAGACTTTGGCATCGACGCCGCCAAATACCGCAAGTGGGGTGTGGAACAGATCAACTACATCCTTGGGGACAACAAATACAGCGGCGGCTGCTACAGCTTTGAAATAGGTCAATGGCGGTTGTTGTTGTCTTAATGTGTGCTCTTGTTGTTGTCCCTTTCTGTTTCCCAGCTAAAAAAAACAGCATGAAAACGGTCACATCAATAAAATGTGTTATTACTTTCTAGTTTAATATAAACAATTATACAATTTAAAAACTACTTTAAATATAAAATAAAAACCAAATGGACGATTGACATTCTCACAGTTTTCATTATTAAAAAGAAAAAAAAAGAAAAGAAGAAGCATTTTGTCTATAATTCCCTCCAATACTTTTTACAATAGCCGGATAGAAACTTAACAATAGGTCACTTAGATTTTGTTTTAGAAATCTTTGAATTTTAACTTATTTCAAATGGTTAGCCAAGATGACGATTTTGAAACGAATAATTCTTTGATGAAATAAATAGAGCTTTCACAGAGTGGAATATAAACTGTTAAATTCGGGTCTGTTCCCGACTTGCATGGACGCAGCAAAGGTGTGGGGGGGGGGCAGCAAACCCAATGTCCGCCCTGGGCGGCACAAGGCCTCGCTCCACCACTGTCTCCCTGATGCTAAAGAGACAGGGTGAATGATTAGAACACATCATGATTTTAACATTTCCTTGGAAATTGTTTTAAAATGTTATCATTACTCAAAATTACCTTTTTTTCCCTTTTCATTTTTTACTATGCGACTGTTAGCAAACAAGTAATTTAACATAACTCCAAAAAAACTACTAATAAGCTTTCTTCATACGCTTAAAATATAACATCAAGTTACGAGGAAGCTTGAAATAGACATGACAATAAAAGAAGACTATGTCGGCTAAGAGCCTTCCCTCCGCATACAGGACAAATAAAGAAATAACAAGAAATAGAAAGTATTTTTTTTTTAAACAACGTGAAGTGCTCTCACCATATTCACTTGATAGCCGCAGTCCTTCATTTATTTTCTTTTATTACGCCTCCAGGTTACGGGACCAAATACCCCAAAAACCCCCACCACAGGGCCTCCTCGTGCCCCAACAAGCCGGCGGCCTGCGGTTGGAACGAGTACAACGCCCAGACCAACAACCCACAGGTCCTGAACGGCGCCCTGGTCGGGGGGCCTGACGTCAACGACAACTACGAGGACAAGAGAAGCGACTACATCAAGAACGAGGTCGCCCTGGATTACAACGCTGGCTTCCAGGCTGCCTTGGCCGCCATCAACAGTCTGGTGGCCAAAAACGCACTTCCGGCAACGGCCAACAAGTGCCCGTGTCCGTAAACACACACCAAAAAAAAAAAATCTGGCTATGTCGTGCCATGAATTCTGAAGTGAAAAGGCCTTCATTTTTTTTTTTTTTAATTGTTTATTTTTATTTCTTTCGTATCGGTAAAATTATTGAAGATTTTATTATTTCTGCCTTGGCCGCCATCAACCGTCTGGTGGCCAAAAACGCCCTTCCGGCAACGGCCAACAAGTGCCCGTGTCCGTAAACACACACCAAAAAAAAAAATCTGGCTATGTCGTGCCATGAATTCTGAAGTGAAAAGGCCTTCATTTTTTTTTTTTTTAATTGTTTAATTTGATTTCTTGCGTATCGGTAAAATTAATGAAGATTTTATTATTGTGTTTCCTTAACATAGATGTGTCGAAACGATGGTGTCAAAATTTAAGGTTTTGCGGTTTAATTGTGAAACCTGTCAGTGGAAACGCTAAATAAATTTCAATTTATTTTTTTTTCAATATTGATCCTTATTGTTTTTTTTCAGTAATTTATAATGCATTAATCTATGTATAAATGAAAAAATTAATGAATTTACTTTTATTTATTTATTTTTTTGGCATAGTGGCAATCTTATAGACAAACGTGCTTCCCAAGGATGCAATTCTTATGACTAGGGTTTAATTAGGCACCATTAGACACCTCCTCTCCTATGATGCCACAAAAACTCTCGTCTCTTCCCTTATTCTTTCAAAATTTGACTACTGTAACACTCTTCTCGCAGGCATTCCTCAACACCACATAGACAAACTTCAGAAGGCACAGAAATCAGCATGCAGACTCATTTTTAAATCACAGAAACATGACCACATTCAACCACACATGCGGCAACTCCACTGGCTTCCAATATCCTCTTGCATCAAGTACAAGTCTGCCAATCTTTGCTTCAACTCGTTCACTGACCCTCACTTTCCTGTCTATCTCTCTGAACTGTTGCTTCCTTACATCCCCACAAGACAACTACGTTCTTCCATTGACAGTAGAACGCTCTCAATCCCAAGAACCAAAACTAAGACCATCGGTGAACGCTCCTTCTACTTCCTTGCGCCCACGTTCTGGAACCAGCTCCCCTTCCATATCCGTCATTGTGAAACCTCGCCCACTTTCAAAAAGTCCCTTAAAACCCATCTGTTTAGGTCCGCTTATGACCTGTGATGCACTTTCCTTGCCCTGCCTCATTTTCTGTCTCGGGTTGATCCTGTAGTAAAGGCCAAAACGTTTACTCGTTTTTATATCCATTTTAATGTTTAAGCTACTGTTTCTATAGTCATTTTTAACATAGTTGTAACTATTCTAGTGTCTCTGGTTTTTCATTTTTATTTTACTTTAGCAGTTTAAACAGTTTACATATTTTTAATAATTGTAAAGCGCTTAGAGCTGTAAGGTAAGCGAAATAAAAAAAATGCCTAAATAAATAAATAAATAATTAACAATTCAATTTATGAAGAAAGATTTGGGCATAGAGCGCACTCGACTTGCTGCGTGGGGCGTGACCCTATCATTTATTAAAGGTGTAAGCCTTTATATTATACTCTTTATATCTTTTGGGGAAAAGGATTTTGCTGATAAAAGAGACGGACACATGAAACTTGTAACCTTTAGTTTTTGACGGTTAAAAGCGCATTTTTTAAAACTTTAACCAAAAAACACACCAAATATAAACGAAAGAAAAAAAATGATACCACTTTTTTAATATCAAAGGGATACAAAAAGAGTTTACATGTTTAAATGAGGGGAAAAAAGGGGGAGGTGCCTAAGACAGACGGAACTCTTTAAATACTAATATAAAGGATACTTAAATAAACTATGTCAATGGTGGAAAATGCAAGGGTTGTCATGAGAGAGGGCGCCACTGGAGGTTTCTAAAGCTTATTACGGAGTCCTATGCAAACTAAAACAAAAAGTTCTATGACATTCTATGAATGTCTAACACACCTTTTGCACCAAGACTTAAGTCTGATACGCGACTATGCCATATCAGCGATTTGGCAGGGATCCGAAAAAAAAATTCTGTGTCATACCTGTAAACCGTTGCTCTGTGTCCCACTGTGCAGTGTAGCTTGTTTCTGTGATTTTTTTTTAAATCGCTTACTCGATTGATAAGAGCATAACTTCGCATATCCGGAAATTTGTGTGGAAGAAATTTCGTCGAAGGAAAATTGATCGACGGAAGTTTGATCGTACGGAAATTTGATCGAACGGAAGTTTGGTCAAACGGATTTTTTTTTGTTCCCACGCTCTAAATTTGCGTCAAATTTCATTTTGAACGCATTATTTTAGTTATGTATAGAAAATATATGCAATCATGTGTTTCGTGAGCCTTTGCGAGATGTTTAAGTGGAATGTGAGACTTTGACAGAAATTATTTTGTCATTGTACCAGCCAAATAATACATAATGTACCACAGTGACGAACATGATGTACCACCTAGATTAACAGAGTGTACCACCTTGACCAACACAATATGCCATCTTGACCAACACAGTATGCCATCTCGACCAACACAATATCCCATCTTGACCAAAACAACATGCCATCTTGACCAACACAACATGCCATCTTGACCAACACAACATGCCCTCTTGACCAACACAATATGCCATCTTGACAAAGACAATATGCCATCTTGACCAAGACAATGTGCCATCTTGAACGATTCGAGCATATTAACAATCTCTGCAACCAGGCAAATAAGACCCTGGGGTTCCTAAGGCGAAATCTGAAAATCGGTATGTACGTGTGAAATGAAAAGTCTATCAAGCCTTTGTCCGGCCGCTTTTAGATTAAATATCTTCAGTCTCGGACCCATTCATTCAGAAGAGCATCGACAGGTTGGAGGCGGTCCAAAGACGAGCAGCACACTTTGTTCTGAACCGCTACAGGAACGCCTCTAGTGTTGACAGCATGCTGGAAACACTGGGCTGGTCCATTGGGGGAAAAGATTAAATAGAAACTCGTCCCTTCCCCCCCCCCCTAGACAGCGTCGTGGTCACGTGCGGCTCATAAAAGAAATAACACAGTACAGGAAGTGCTCATTCCTGCCAAAGACAATCGGGAACGGGAACAAGCTTCCAAGAGCAACATTTGATGCGGAAAGATTTGACACATTTGCGTATATTGCCTCAGGCCTCCCGAACCCCAGTTCATGACATCTTGCATGAGTGGCCTTGCAACCAATGAAATATCCTCTTCAATACCAGACAAAAAACTTTGCAAATCCTTCTCCATACATAAGAGTGTAATAAAAGGAGAGACTGCAATCAGGTTAGGAAATTGGAATTGATTAAAATAAAGTAAGGTCAAACCTGAAAAACAACGAACGTGTCGGCAGTAAGCCTTCGTCAGCGAACAAAAAACAAAAAAAAACATAATCATTTTTTTTTTAAATAGCACTTAGTATCCGAGAGGGCATCAGTTTCTAAATATATAGAAGAAAAAGAACACGGTGCGGCACCTCACCAACACAGAGTGCTACCTTGTCAAACGCAATGTGCCACCTTGTCTGACACAGTGAGCGACCTCACCAACACAGAGTGCTACCTGGTCAAACGCAATGTGCCACCTTGTCTGACACAGTGAGCGACCTCACCAACACAGAGTGCTACCTGGTCAAACGCAATGTGACACCTTGTCTGACACAGTGGGCGACCTCGGCCAACACAATGTGCGACCTTGACCAGCACAATGTATCACCTTAACCAAAGTATTGTACCACTTGAAACGACCCCTTGCGCAACAAGTGGATTGAGTATCGATCAAGTGCAACCATTCTTATCAAATGGCGATATAAAAAAAAATTAATCAATAAGTTCGTGGGGCACTTCTCTTTATAGAAACACCATGCAATCATTTTTTTGTGTGCTTGACTCTTGTGACGCAGAAATTTAGAACGTACCGTGTCTATGTATTTATGTGTATCGATATAATATAAAGTCGGAGGCTTCTGGTAAAAATTTAATGAGATGTTTGATTAACGATGAAGGAAAAAAAACAACGTAATTTTGTCCAGTTAAACGTCAGGTGAAAAAGATGTTTGAAATTATTTATCTTTTTTTGTTTGATACAATAAAATTTAATTTCTTAATCCAAATTCCTTTCACTCCAATATTGCCGTATGCAATCGTTACATACCCCCCCCCCGGGGCGCGGGCTTTGGGTGTGGCTTTCTCATTCGGTCGACCCTACTGCCTGCTTCCAAAATGTATTGTGCAAGCTTGTATATTCCTGGAATCGTGACAGCGTTATCGGTATAATATTCGTACCTACCCACCTACCCCGTTCACAGTCGCTCCTATCTTAACCTTTACCTTCCTGTATTTCTTTTCTTTAATTCATGAATAAGCGATTTTTTTTTAAAGGGTTTAGAGAGTTCAAGGCATCTAACGTCATCCCTTGTTAAATAATGTGTTCGTATTTTTGGGGGGTTCGTGTTTTGGAGTGGAGAGTAATCGTGCAGCTTTTGCTGTGTGTTTTTGTATTTGTGACGTATTTGGGTATAGGACAGCGTTTCTCAACCTGTGGGTCACGCGACCCTTACCCATGGGTCGCCTAAGACCATCTGAAAACACATATCCTTACAGCTATAAAGTAGCAACGAAAATAATTGAGTGGCTGGGGGTCGCCACGACACGAGAAACTGTATTAAAGGGTCGCGGAAATAGGAAGGTTGAGAACCGCTGGTATAGGAGATGACTTTTTTAAAATTATTTCGATGGTTTATAATTGTAGTTGTAATGGAGTTGCACAGAGAAAGCGGACGAAAGAAGGCGCTATGTTTATTTAATAAAGAACCATATGTCATATAGATGATTTATTTGTTATATGATTACCCCAAGAGGTAACAAGGCCATTGAACGGCGTATCACCCATTAGCAGTTCGTAAACGCCCTTTCACCACACAACGTCGTGTATTATTTATTTTTTTCGTTATTAGCTTGTTAAATGACTTTGCAAAGCGTAACATCGGGAAAACTCCCAATAAGGTCATGACAACGCGTTTGTAAGGAGTGTACATATATATACAGTGGGAGAGGGTGCGAGAGATACAAAGATGGTGGACCCGCAAAGACAGACGACACCGTAAGCTATCAAGATTTTCTTTTCAAAATCATTTTCTTATGTCATTTTCCTCATTTCGTTTTGCTTTTGTTTTTTTAAGTAATTTTTTTCGTTGTTATTCTTAGTTGAAATTTAATTTTTATTAAAACAAGAATATTGCTTTTAAAAAGATATCAGTCACATTCACTCGAGCAAGCCACTTTGTTATTTTTAAAATATATGTTATCTTGCGCACCTAGTGTGCAGATGTGTTGAACGCATCGCTACAGACCCACAAACTCAGACACAGAATATGACGCATTCGATTGTGTTCTTTCTTTAATGTCTCTTTTTTTAATATTTTAATTTAAATACTGCTCATCTTTTTTGAAGCTGAAGAGCTCGCACGGTG